TTTATTTATTTCTTTATTTCTTTCATGATCTATATTTGTATTTTAAGAATTGTAATTTTATTATTTAAAGAATCAAAATTCGAATAAAATAAAGATAACTTTTTAATTTAACAACAATTAAATTACCTGTTCATTAACATTGTTTAAATAATTAAGTGATAATTATTTGAACGTTTACATTATCATTGGATAAATCAATAATATTGTTAAGAGGTATAGAAGACATGCAATCTTTTCCAGACTTCCTATCTTTTTCTTTTCATGCACACAAAATAACAAGTAATTTATTGCAAATATCCATTTCATCCTAGAAATTAAATAGAAATGAACATATAATTAAAAGGCAATAAACCTAGCAAATAGTAAAATAAATACCTGTGTGAGCTTTCTGATTTCTTTGCTCTCTTTTGGGTCAGGTGATATGCTATCAAGATCTTGTGGCTTGTTGTCAAAGGAAGCAGATATGAAGGAATCTCATGCGATTTTAATTGAACTTGATGATGATGAATTATCTTTCAAAAATTCAGAACTCTCAGCCAAATCATTATCGCTGATAAATGGATCATCAATATCGTCATCTGTGTTCCTGTTGGTGGTTTTAGCCTGTTCATGCAAGAAAAATTTTTGAGGAATTCACATGAACAGATCCTTATCATAAGTTACATTTTATACATACCTTTTTGACTAAAACATTTGATTTTTTATCCTGTAATATAATAAATTTGTTAAAAAATGCTCACATACTTTCAAAGCAACACAAAATTTTACCATTATACTGACCTTTTTTGAAAGAGATAACTGTTTCTTCCGCTTTTGACTGATAGGTGTGACAAGTTGGAAATCATCATCAGACTAAATACAAAAGAAAAGGTTTAGTTTCTATCAAGAATCACAATCTCATAACTTCCTGCCAAAAAATACTATGCATCTGTACCTCTTGGTCTTGTTTTGGTGACAAGTCAGTATTGAATGTTCCGCCATTGACCATCCCTATTCCTAGGGAACTATCCTTAAATGTTGGGTGATGTAGGTGTATTGAAGTTCCACAGTCTCTTTACTTTTTTGAGATAGCCAATCTCATGCTATTTTGTGATCAGGTCAGGAACCCTAGTATAGGAGAGCTTAGAAATTAATAGTATCCTTGACTAGTGACTTTATAATTTTTCTCTAACTTTTTTTCACCCCACCAGATTCATCTTAAAGACTTGAACATCAGACAATCTTCGAGATCATCTGTGCCCTAACACTGATTTTGTAACTCATCTTAGAGACTTGAATGACAAAAATCTTCAAGATTCCTGCCACATTACCAATTTCTTATTAATAAATATTTTTAACTATAAAAATTCTTGGACTTGCCTGTTTATAATGATCATGCAATTCCCGTGCCTTTTTACACCTATTTCCAATATCATTTTTAGTTATGTTCTCGAGAGAGGTAAGGTAATGTCTGATCATATCAGTAAATAAATTTGCATCACATTTTTCAAGAAACCCTATAATAGTCCATTCAGAGAGTCTGCGATTGAAATACTCATGTACCCACTTTTCCGACATGAGATATCTTAGTTCATGTGTAGCTGGAAGGAAAACTTATTGTAAAAGTAACATGTTACAGGATTAATATTACCGTAAAGTCTGGAAAGATAGCACCCCCTACTTTAAAACAATTGAGCGTCAATATAAAAAAAATGTTACACATATGTAAAAAGGGGATGCTATCTTTCCAGACTTTACAGTACTTATGTATGAGGCTAACAACTCGGAGTGTTATGTAATTTTTTTTATGAACAGTATCATAGTGAAATTCGTGTTACCTACACTCTACCCTTAAAATCATGTGTTCACCACATGATCTTGATAATGTGTTACCTACACTCTACCCTTAAAATCATGTGTTCACCACATGATCTTGATAATGTGTAACCTCCTTAATGAGTCTCATTTGAGATTCGGATTCAAACACTAATTTATACATACTAAGGCATTTAACTCTAAAAGTGAGGCCATGTCTTCAAATGCCATTATTACCTAAGTCAAAGTTGAAAATATGTTATTAGAAATTAAATAAGGTAGATAATGATAAATCACACCCACACGGGTTCAGAGTATTGATATATTTATATCTTCATTGGCCCTTATTACAGATATTGGTCTTGAACCACAAATGCAGATAACACACTGCAACAGCACCCAAATACTATCTTCACCAGAACATCTGTTACCAATGTGCTTCTATATATGCGGTCATTGGGGGTAAACACAAAAAAAAATCATCATAATTGCTATAGTTAAATCAAAATATTATTGTAATCTTACCCGTTGTTCTAGATCTTGACCCTGTCCAAAAAACTTTGGAGCCTATCTAGGCGCACTTTATCCTCAATTGGTACAAGCTTCTTCACTCTTTCAAACATTTGAACAAAGTTCTGAACTTCTTGATTACAGTTGCTAGTCCAACCACCTGGCTCCATGCATTTATATAAAGCAGTTGCAACTGTAATAATTGATACTGGGACAAAAGTTAATAAGAAATTTCCCAATGTTAGATAAGAGATTTATACGATTAAAAATATTGTTTTTATAGTAAGAAACAAAATAAACTTATAAACAATTAGCATATACAATTTTGAATATACTGTCCTTTTAAAACATTTCCCTTCTATATCTTCATCTGGATCTATTGAATGAATGCCATATAGTCTCAAAATATAGCATCCCCTTTTTACATATGTGTAACATTTTTTTTATATTGATGCTCAATTGTTTTAAAGTAGGGTTGCTATCTTTTGGACTTTATGGTAATATGCGTATGTATTTATGCCAAAAATTTCTCACACAAAGAAAATGAATGTACATGAGGTAAGCAATCGACTTTGGTTAATTGCACAAATAAACATGCATGCATAATTTATATAGTCGCACTACTTATACAAGTATTCTGGAATTTATGGGTCATACACAAATATGTTTTAAAAATTATAATTCAAATGATTCATTTTATTATTATTATTATTATTATTATTATTATGATTTAATGTAATCAAGCAAAAAAAATAATATTTCAATAATAATAAGATACAAGAATAATTCCTTACAGTAGAGTTGCAAGGGAAAGAATGTACAGCCCCTAGACCATTTAATGTACTTTGGCTCTACTTGGTAAAAAACTATTTATTATTATTGTTATAATTCATTTCCCCATCACCACTATCACTGTCTTCATTAATATTATTATTATCATTAAATGTAGATTTATTTTTTCCTTTACTTTTGAATTCTATCCAAGATTTGATTGCTCCTACAATCCTGGTGTCAGATTTCATTGTTTGATTATAATAATTTTCTATCACTTTGTTCGAAATAACCTTGATCTTTTTCTCCTTTCAAAGATCACTTACAATTTCAGCAATTATATTGGCTTTAGAATAATCATTTTTCGTTGAAAAGGTTTTTAAATTTCTGAATGACTGGATTTGAAAACGAAGTGTGTCTTGAAGCTAATATGATATGGAAATATTTGATTTACTATGAGTCTCTCATCAAAGGTAATAGATATATAGTAATTTCACCTCAAGAACTGCTTGAAAAATTGCTTGAATTATTACTTGAAAGATTTCTTGAATAATTAGTTAGGGTATCTTCTCCCTGGAATCTTTGTTGAATCTCTTCACTGAGCAAAGAAATTTTTTCAGAAAGTTTTCCTATTTTTATTATTAAATTCTTCAATTTTATTATAAAGCTCATCAAATTTATTATCAAATTTATTATCAATTATTTTAGATTTGTTTTTTTGTTTCTCCTTCAATAAATCAAGATCCATATTGATCCATTGTTTAAAGATGTAGAGAATGAAGCATATAACAGTAATGAATAGGTACACAAAAAACTTTTCCCCAATGATAAAATCATGATAAGTATCAAGACAGGGATGATGAAAAAATAACTCTCTAATGGCATTTCTGTTAGAGCTTGAAAAATTCGATTGGTGTCATCTATGGGTAAAAATCAGTTGCTACAAGAATACTATATCTATAAATCTGATACAAGAGTCTTAACAAACCTTTGATTCGATAAATGTAAGAATATGATTTTATTTTTTAACATGGTTTTTAATTGATTTAATACATTTTATTGATTTATTTATTAACGTGTTTTTTGATTAATTGATTACTATGTTTTGTTTATTAATGTGGGTTTGATTGATTTAACAAGTTTTATGCAAGATCAGTCATAAACTTAAGATTAATATTAATAAACATCATGATCACATGAATCATGTAATATGGGACATGTCACAGCAAAAACCACCTCTCAGAAAAATAGATTATTTTGAGTAAACACATGTTCAAAATTTG